CAGTGCACAATTAAGTTTTCTATTTTTCTGCCAGAAGTGCTTTTAATTTGAATTATATCTTAGTGGCAATGGTAGGGCTGGCAGGGGTTGTGGTAGTGATGTGGCAGTCAGTCCTGGGGGTTGTGGTGGTGACAATACTGATGATGGTTGTAGTGGTGATGGTGACAGTGGTGGTGGTGATGACAGTGTTAGTTGTGGTGACAGTGATGGTGGTGACAATGGTGGTGGTGGTGATGACAGTAAGAGTGGCAGTGATAGTAGTGGGAGTGGCAGATACAGTAGTGATCACAGTGATGGTGGAGGTGATGGTGGCAGTGGTGGTAACAATTGCGGTGGCAGTGGGGGTGACATGGTGGTGGTGATGATGGTGGTGGTAGTGATGACAGTGGCAGTGGCAGTGATGGTAGTGGTGGTGGCACCACAATAGTGGTCATGATGATGATGGCAGTGGCAACAACAATGGTGGTGATGATGACAGTAGTGGTGGTGACAATGACAGTGGTGTTGGTGGTGACAGTGTTGGTGAGGGCAATGACATTGGTGGCAGTCATGGTGACAATGACCATGGTGGTGGTGGTGGTGATGACAGTGATGGTAATGGTGGTGATTACACTACTGGTGGTGGTGGTGATGACAGTGATGATAATGGTGGTGATGACAGTGCTTGTGGTGGTGACAACATGCTGGTGGTGGTGATGACAATGCTGGTGATAGTGATGACGGTGCTCATGGTAGTGATGACAATGCTGGTGTCGGTGGTGATGACAGTGATGATGGTGGTGGTGACAGTATTGGTGGTGGTGGTGACAGTGCTGGTGACGGTGGTGATCTTCAGAGGCATGATACTCTTGTCAGTGCTGAGACCCATAATCAGGCTCTGTGGAACATAGTCTGCATTTCTTGTTGCCTGGACCAGAGGACAGGGCTTTGATGGAGCTGGCAGAGTGCTCTGACAGGCCTACCCGTAGCAGAAATGTGCATGGTTCCTTTCCTATTGTTACTTTGGGTGAAGGGAAGCAAGAGAATTGGAGGGAATGTTTGAGTGTGACCTAGAATTTATGTTTAGGCCAGTTTTCAGACAGGATTGTAAATGGTTCAAGCAGTATCTTTAAAGATCTTTAAAAAAAGGGAATTTGAGATACCTGGATACTGTTCCAGTTCTCTTTTCATTGCTAAATTCCTCTATGGAGTAGCTTTCATTTTTCTTTCCTCTTCTGCCATGACCTTTATCTTGTTCAGTCCACCAGCCTTTTGTTTCTCTGCTTGCATTCTCACGATCTCCAAATGACTGAGATTTTCTAGCAGTGTGAGCTTGGGCAATGCTCCTGCATGTTCTGTTCTCCTTGCCTCCCTTTCTTGTTTTCTGCTATACTTAGCACCTGGTACACCATAGAACACTGGTTTATTTCTTTAGGTTCTCTTTCCTCATATGAAAATTATAAGTTCCATTAGGGCAGAGACTTTGTTTTATTCACTGTTTTATTCCAAAAACCTCCAATAGGACCTGGCACATAGTTGGTGGTTCATAAATATTAATTTAATAAATGAATAAAGTTATATAACTGCCTTATTTTCTGTTAAGTCAAATGGGAATACTAATGCTAATCTCATATAGTTACTATGAGGATTAAATGAAATAATGTAAGTAAAGTACCTGGCATTCCCAGGCTGGTGTAGTAAGGGCTGGTGAACTGTTAGATGGTCCATGGCACTCTTCTTTCTCATAACCTCTTTGTCTTTGTTATTTAGAATGATATTCTGGTTAGCTTCTTACCTCCTTAGTGATGGATCTGTACCTTCTTTCTTCTGTCCACTAAACTGGCCAGTTTTAGAGAATTGCCCAGTGGCCCTGAGTAAGGAAATGCCAGGTTTTGTCTTTTTCAGCTTGCTTATTCATAAGGCTTTGATTATTGTTAATAAAATAGACTATGTATTATCATCATTTATAATTCTGTTATGTTAGTTTTCATATATGATTCTAGATCCATGTGTTATTTTTTAATACAGCTAGCAGTAGTATCATGAATTATCCTATGAGGTAGCTTCTATTATCCTCACTTTACAGATGAGGAAACCAAGCCTTACAGAGGTTGATATCTTACCTGTGGGTACACACAGCTAGTAAGTGGATCAAGAAGACATTCTTAGATCTGTTCCTTCTGTTTCTTCCTTTACCCATCCAAAAGCATGCACAGAGTGTATACCATAGGCCAGGTACCATGCTAGGCTCTGGTTGAACAACAGGGAAAAAACATCAGTGCAGAACCTGTGACCACTGCACATCATAGTTACCATTACCACAGCCTCTCTGCTGAGCACACTGTGGAGTGTGAATTCTAGGGTGACCCCTGCTCAGGTATTTTTACTTCCCTAACTCAGCCTTACTTCAAGCTGCAAATATCTAAATCTAAACTCATGAATTGCCTTTCTTTCTGCCAACTGCCTGCTCTCCCCACCAAAATTACATATTTTTCTATCTCCATTAGAAAAAACACCTGTCATCTTTCTAGTCACATAGTCTCAAAACTTTGGAATAACTTTGATTATCCCATTTCTTTTATTCCATACTTTCAATACACACCCAAGACCTCTTGATTTTTTCCTTAAGATTTTATTTTATTTTGAGAGAAAGAGAGCATGAGGGAGGAAGAGCGGAAGAAGAAGGAGAAGCAGACTCCCCTCTGAGCAGGGAGCCTGACATGGGGCTCAATCCTAGGATCCAGAGATCATGACCCGAGCTGAAGGTAGACACTTAACCAACTGAGCCACCCAGGCGCCCCTACCTTTTGATTATTTTTATCCTTGAAAATATGTCTCTTGGTTCTCCTCCTCAGTTCCTTTCTACCATTCTAATATCAGCTTCTATGCCCTGATCCTTGACTTACTGAAATTAGCCTCAAGAATGGGTGTTAATTTTATCCTCTGCTTCAGACTTCACTGAATTGTAAGTCTCCTAAAGGCCTAGAGTCTGCTTATTGATTATTATCTCCCCAACACTATACCAGGCAGATAGGGGACATTCAGATGGCTATTAAATTAAAGCAACTTTGATGCTTAGACCACAGTTCTTAAACTTAATTTGGAGGTTTATTTGGTGATTATAAGTACCTTCTTCCCTGGAAGATCACGTAAGTATATTATAAGTAGGCTGTTCTCTGCGTCTCAATAATATATATTTTTAACAAAGTCTGTTTCTGCTTTTTTCCATTAACGTTTGCTACTTGTGTATTTGTTTTACTGTCTGCTAGCACCAAAGCCCTAGAGACATATATGGTTAAACTATAAACTGATAACTGTTTTTTCTATTGAATACCGCTCTTCCATTTTTCTCATGCTACCATAACTCTGTAGAAATGCAATTTGAGAACCAGTGTATATTACAAAGAAATTATGAACCATTCAAAATTTTAGATGTTAATGGATTGGACACAGTAACTCTTGTGCCTAAGGTTTCCCCCATTTGCGGGATAGAGCAATTTAGTATTTCCCGAAGCCCTGATATTACTGTGTTTGCAGCTCAGGGAATTGATGGGGATAGAATGGGTGTGCCAGTGGTCTTCTTCCTTACTTTCTTTTCCCACTTTAGTGATCTCTTCCTGAGCTCACTGTTGAACCCTTAACCTTCCTGCATACTCAGGAGAGACATGCTGGCTTGTACAGATGTAGTAGAAATCAGTGCATTCTAGACTATTTGGTTTACCATCTCCTTACTTTTCTCATTGGAAGTAAATTATTTACATAGTTAGCAGTGCCCTTAGACTGAACAAATTTTGCATTCTTAAAAATATTTTGAAGAAGTTATGCTTATGGCATTTCTAAATGTGTATCATGACTTAAATCATTAATCTTGTTGACCCTTCAGGGAACATATATAGTTTCTTCAGGACTCAAACTGAAGCTGCATAAAAACTGTAAATAATTATGTTCCCAAATAAATCTTTTTATAAATGACTTAACAGTGACTAAATCTTGTATTAAGAAAGCAGGCATTTTGTAAGAATAATAACTATAATTTAATACACTTATTATATAATAGCATGCAAACTGCTGCAGAAAAACTTGAATGTTATATAATAGATACTATTAGATCATAACATTTGACAAATTATGATTTTGAATTCAGCATCTGCCTGTAGTGAACTTTTGTTTTTATTGTGTGTTTAAATTTTAAAAAGTTGATTCAGAGTAGATGTGCTTTAAGTCATTTTCTTTTATTAGAAATTATGTAGTGGCAAAACCCAGCCTCATCATGTTACACAGAAATTAATATGTTTACTATATTAGTTAAAAGATAAGATGAAATTTCCAAATGCTATCTCCAGTGAACAAATAATATCTTTCTGTACTGACTGTATCAGATATATCAAATCACATACACAAAACTTTTTTGAATTAATGAAAAAATATTAAATCTGTTTTAGATACTGAGGATTCAGCAGTGTAAAAATGGACATAATCACTAAGTTTTTGGAGCTTACATTTTAATGAGGAAATGCAAATAAACAGGTTATGTCAGACAGTGATAAGTGCTAAGAAGAAAATCTAAGGACAGTGGGGTAGAGAGTGTAGGGAGGGCTTCTTCTAGTCAAGGACATCAGGAAGGCCTGTTGGGAGGTGACATCCAGCTACACTGAGGTTTATATGTTGGTAAAGTCAGTTCTATGAAGATCTGGGGCAGAACAGTCTGGGATAGTGATTAGGATGGTTTGAACAGGGAACAAACAATATGTGTTCAAGAAACCAAGAGAAGGCCAGAGAGGCTAGAGTGTAGGGGACTGGGTGTGAGTGTTAGGAAGTGGGGCTGGACACTCAGGCACAGAATTCAAGCACTGTGATGTGTTACAGACTATTATAAGGAGTCTGGATTTTATTCTGTGGTCAGTGGGACACCAATGAAGGTTTTGAACAAGGGTACAGCCAGATCTGTAACTGCTAGCTTCAAATGTGCATTGTTGAAAGATTTCTTTTAAATGGAAATAACTTTTCTTTATATTTTACAGAATCGACCAGAGGGCTGCCATTTGGTCAAAGGATGCTTTTGAGACTCATCAAGACTTAAATGAAGTAGGTGCCATCATTATTGGTTGTATGAAATGAATTAGCCAATCATGAAATTTATTATTCTTTTTTCCTAGTATTGGGAATTCTTTCTGATTAAAACTTTAAGTGTTTTTGCTCTTAAGTGAGTTTGTTTTCCCTGTAGCTCTTTGGGTAATGTTTTTCCTCACTCTGGAGCAAATAGATTTAAAATTATCTGAGAGACTGCTCACTACATTTTGGACCTAAACCAAGTCCAGCAGTCATTTCATTATTCTGTTTTCGACTTTGCTTTAGGATTGTATAACCATGGTGTGGCAGTTACATTTGTAACTCTTTCTCTTAATTTTATTCCGTCTCTCTCTCTCTCTCTCTCCTTCTCAGGGCTTTTGTAGTCTCAAATGTAAACCTGCTTACTATTTATCCGTGGAGTATGATATAGTTTGGTGTTTGCAATAAGGTCTTCTTAGTACATTTTGAAATATTGAAGTCCTATTTTCCAATCCAAATGATTTCTCATCAAATTGGACATCATTATGTTAATGTTTGGTCTAAATTTTCTTTGAAATAGATCATTTAATTCTCCTGTTGGAAATCAATATAACATAATTAGGATCACTGTTATTATGAATGCTTTGGCTTAAGACCTTGGCTTGAAATACTGTCTAGTTTCCCTTGCCCTCATTTTATAATAAAGGAGCAGTGGGTGGTATATCTGATTAGGATCATAGCAAAAGGAATGAAAAGACTTGATGCTCAGATCCCGGGAAGAAAGATGATGGACATGAGGCAAATTGCTTATTTGTTACGTGAAGATTGATTTCTTCTCTCCCTCCAAGAAAAGGCAATTAATTAAATTTAGGGGATTTTCTTTTTCATTTTTTACTTTAGAACTTGGCAGAAATGAATAGCCAAAGTTAAACCAGCTGCCTGATTAAATCAAGTTAAAAAAAATAACTAAAGTTGTGGAAAATGACCTAAAGTTAAAAAAACAGAACACTGCTTGTTATTTATTTGTGCATAGAGATGGCCTTCAAATTCCCCAATCTCATTCATGGTAATAAGAGTGACAAAGAGTTTAAGAAAAAAGAGGCAAGAGGCTGAATCAATGAACACATTGTTTATAAGCAAAATGCTAGCTGTAAAGAAGCGCTGATTTGTTTTGACACAAGTGACTAGAAAAATGAGGTGATTGTAAGAGTCAGCCTGTGATAGGTTTCAAGTATTTCGGAGAAACTCAGATTTGTGAACTAGAAGCCCATAAGAATGCTGAGATTACTTGAGCATTCTGAAATCACAGATGCGAAAAGATCTATTTGAAAATCTGCTTCCCTGTATTTCTTTGCTACATTGTATTGGCAAATTTCATGAACTGTGCCAGTTTATTGCTCTGGGATTACATGGGTGCAAGAACATTGAATGGAGACATGTATTCAAAATAAAATAGGCAATGCCCTATTTTAAATGTGTGCTCTTCGATGATAAGGGCATGCTGCTGATCCAAACTGTTGATAAGAGTGGTGTGTGCTCAGTGTTTTGTTCCACTCAAAGGGTAAACTGTGTGGGATGTTTGTTCCAGTCCACATCTTTGGTGCACTTTCTATTGTGACTAAAATTTGGGGGCCAGAGGAAACCTAGGAAAGCCTGAATGGGAGAAGTATGACCCATGCAGGGAGGGTCGGTACATTGATGAAGACATCCTATAGAGTAGATATATATTTAACTGGGTTTTTCTCAGCATTTCCCCAACGTAGGGAAAACCAGACTCTCTTATGGAAGAATCCCGTCGTAACATTTATTTAGGCAAGAATCCTATGGAACACAGTGGGAAACACTGCTTTAATATTTTTAATTGAAACAGAAAAATATATATAATGGTGCATATATCCTAAATGTACAGCTGGATGAACTAGATTAAGAAACGACATTATCAGCATCCCAGACACCCCTGTATAATTCCTTCCAGTCACTATTCTCCAACAAGGATAACTACTCTTCAGACTAAAATAAATTTGTTTTGTCTATTATTGAGATTTTTATAAATGCATTATATGTACTTTTCTGTATCTGATTTCATTTACTCAGTATTATGCTTCTGAAATTCATACATATTTAGCAGGTAGTTTTAGTTTTCTTCTCCTTGCTGTAACCCATTGTATGTTTTTTCCCCTAGTTTTTTACTATTATGGTAAGTTGTTACTGATAACATTTTTTTTAAATTAACTGCTATTTGGTCTCTGTACAGCTGACTTTTTACAGAAGTATTCCTTCTATCTCTAAACAGAAATGCAAGACTTTTTTGTTATGTTAGCTGTCTTCATTCCCCTTTGTTCCTTTCTTATTTTTATTTACCACTGCCCCCCTCCCCACCATTCACACATAGCCATATAGTTCTCTGAAATGAACCCACCAGATGCATATCTGCTTTCTTTCTTCACATCAATTGCAAGTCTAAAGTCAAAAGAGTTTCTTAAATATTTTCCAGACATTTCCATAGACCCTAATGCTGTATATACACAATAAAAATTTTAAGATGTTACATATGTACTTTATATTTTCCTAAAATTTCATATCTGTTAATTTACTTCTACTTTTTGAACTTTTTAATTATACTTGCTCTGTCACAGATAGATGGGCCTCAGCTACAGCTTGGTTCCAGAGCTGACACTTGACTCCAGGTGTCCTATACTAAGTAAGACAATACATGGTATGATTTGTCTACATATAAACACCTGTCTCTGGGTATATTCCCCTACTTTCCCAGTGAACTGGCTATAAAGTTCAATATTCTTTTTTTTTTTTTTTAAGTAGGCTCTACACCCAGCATGGAACCTCCCAGTGAACTGGAAAACACATTCACTTATATTCACTTGGCATGAGTATAGATTTGATTCTGGCTAGTCTCACTTTTCTTAAGCGACTCTCAAGCTACTAGTCTTTGATCTTGGGTCTCTTGACAGGACATGCAACCCCATCCCATGGGTTTTAGTGCCTCTGAGACTGTGTTATAGGAGTTTGTTTATGAAAAACTGAGTAAGTTTCCCTGTTGCCATTGAGCTGAACTGTCAGATTTTTCCTCTGTAAGACATCAGAAGGTTTTATTTTTGGGGTCTTCTGGATCATAATTGAAAAATATTCTAGACTTGAGATCTATCAATGTCTCTCATCCATTTTTTTTTTCTTAAAGATTTATTATTTATTTGAGAGAGAGAGTGGGGGAGGGAGGAGCAGAGAGAGAAAGAGAATCCTCAAGCAGACTCCTGCTGAGCGACAGAGCCTGACACAGGGCTCAATCCCAGGACCTGAGATCATGACCTGAACTGAAATCAAGAACCAGCCAGTTAACCAACTGAGCCACCCAGGTGCCCCAAACAATGTCTCATCCATCTTTATCCTTGGTTTTATTTATTCTTCTACATCCATATAATTGATAAGCACTCAATAGATCAAAAAGCTGAGGGTAAATGAGAACAAACATTGTTTTCCTTCATCATATCCTAGTAAATCCCCTTCTTGGCTCCATTTCCAATTAAGAAAAATAACAGATGTATGAAGAAAACTAATGGGTCTTCTCTTCCCTGAGAAAGCACAGCACATTGGGTCTTCAAACCACTTTTTCTGTTAGAGACTGCATATCATAAAGCAGTATAGGAATTTCTTTTAGTTTTTCCATTGTAAAATTGAGGCAGGAGGTTTGAATTGGGTTAATTCTAGGAGCCTTTCAGTTTTGTTTTGTTTTGTTTTGTTTTAATTTATTTGACAGAGAGAGAGATCACAAGTAGGCAGAGAGGCAGGCAGAGAGAGAGGGGGGAAGCAGGCTCCCTGCTGAGCAGAGAGCCCGATGCTGGGCTCAGTCCCAGGCCCCTGAGATCATGACCTGAGCCAAAGGCAAAGGCTTAACCCACTGAGCCACCCAGGCACCCCTAAGAGCCGTTTCAGTTTTAACACTCATTGATTCTACCTTTCCCCCCTTCCCCCTATTTTTTTTTTTTTTCATTTTCCCAGTGCTTATAGAATTTAGTCACAGTTTCCCATCAAGGATGAACAAGGCAAACCATCCCAGAGTTACTGAGGGGAGGGATTAGGCCTCAAGGCCAGTCATCTGAAGGCCTGGTTTGGGGAACAAATACTAGATCTTCTCTGTTACTTTCTTCTCTTGAACTCTCCTCTTACCATAAGTTGGCTTTCTTTAGTGATATGCTTGTATTCTTTTCTCTTTAGTTTTTGCATATCTGTTACTGCATTTGATTTGTGGTTACCATTAGATTTGCATATAACATCTTCTGCATATAGCAGTCTATATTAAGTTGACAGTCACTTAAGTTTGAACCCGTTCTTTATTTCTTTCCCTCCACGTTTTAGGTATATGGTGTCATATTTTACATGCTTTTAGTTTGTAAGTTCCTTGTCAGATTTTTACAGATATACTTATTTTTACTGCTTTTGTACTTCCTTCTTTTTTACTCTTACTTACGGTTTTCCCTTTTGACTCAGAGAGTCCCCTTTCATATTTCTTGTAGGGCTGGTTTAGTGGTCATAAAGCTGGTTTAGATTTTGTTTGTATCCTATTCTGCATGATAACCTTGCTGGATAGAATATTCTTGACTGCAGATTTTTCCCATTCAGTACTTTGAATAGATCATGCCACTCTCTCCTGGCATGTGGAGTTTCTGCTAAAGTCCACTGATAGCCTTATGGGGTTTCCCTTGTATATAACTATCTTCTTTTCTCTTGTCACTTTTAAAATTCTCTATCTCTACTTTTTATGATTTAAATTACTATGTGTCTTGGTTTGAACCTCCTTGGGTTAACTTTGTTGGGGGCTCTCTGTGCCTCCTGAATCTGGATATCTGTTTCTTTGCCCAGATTAGGGAAGTTTTCGGCTATTATTTCTTCAAATAAATTTTCTGCTCCCTTTTATCTCTCTTTTTCTTCTGAGATCCCTATAATGTGAATGTTATTATGCCTGATAGAGTCACTTATTTCCCTAAGTCTATTTTCATTTTGCATAATTCTTTTTCTCTCAC